GCCCCCAATAATGTCCCTAATATAGTCCCCACATGGCCACCAATAACGTCCCATCATGGCCCCCAATCACACCCCTAACATGGCCCCCAATAACGTCCCTAATATAGTCCCCACATGGCCACCAATAACGTCCCATCATGGCCCCCAATCACACCCCTAACATGGCCCCAATAACGTCCCTAATATAGTCCCCACATGGCCACCAATAACGTCCCATCATGGCCCCCAATCACACCCCTAACATGGCCCAAATAACGCCCCTAATATAGTCCCAACATGGCCCCCAATAACGCCCCTAATATATTCCCAACATGGCCCCCTATGACACCCCTAACATGGCCCCCAAAAACGCCCCTAATATAGTCCCAACATGGCCCCCAATAATACCCCTAATATAGTCCCAACATGGCCCCCAATAATGCCCCTAATATAGTCCAAACATGGCCCCCAATAACACCCCTAACATGGCCCCCAAAAATGCCCCTAATATAGTCCCAACATTATCCCCAATAATGCCCCTAATATAGTCTCAACATGCCCCCCAATAACGCCCCTGATATATTCCCAACATGGCCCCCAAATGACACCCCAAACACGGCCCCAAATAATGCCCCTAATATAGTCCCAACATGTCCCCCAAAAGCACCCCTAATATATTCCCAACATGGCCCCCAATGACACGTTAATGACACGTTAAACATGGCCACTAACAAGGCCCCCAACAGGCTTCCCAGTTTAAGTGTGTTTTCTTCTTGACAAAAACATTGTTGGAATTAATGTGTCACTAGGAGGGTAGAGCAGAGTATGACACCATGCTGGAGATGTCCGCTGCATAGGGATGCACCGATATGACAGTCTGGGCCAATAAACATGTTAATATATCGAGCATCCCTGAATGCCAGCATTAAAACCAGGCGTAACTGAGCAAAGAGACACCAGGGCTGGGGGGCATCGGTGCACAGATGTAAGCATGAGCTAAGCAGGGCTTCTGTGTTCATACCTCTTTCAAACATCTCTTGGAGACTTCTGGGATGAGGCCGTTTGTCTTCTTTCTGAAAAAAAGCAATGAGAAAAGCTTGCTTTATGCCCAGTCAACGCGTTCCACCTCTGATACTTGTTGTAGAAAGTAAGATTTAGCAGATTTCTTTTAATCACAGTCAACATGTTGGGCTCTAAAAACTGTAGCAAAATAAGAAGAGCTGCAGGAGCTCCTTTTTCATCAACCTCTCTACAGAACTCTTCTTTAAGAAGCCGGGTCCAGATGAACCAGACTTCCTTTGTTCTGAGAGTTAAGATCTTCCAATGTTGGATGACAATGTTTTACTGTTTGCTTTGATACCGACCTGCTGGCTGGTGGATCCGTTGTCAGTGGTTCCTTTCTTCACACTGGGGAAGTCCAATCTCTTTTTGCCACCACCTTTCAGAACCAGCTTCTGCAGAGAGAACAGAAACCCTGAGCTGCAGATGTTGGACGTGGTCTGACCCAAACTGTGATGGGAGAAGATGGCCAGGCTAGGCCTTCTCTCCAGAACTGTACCAGGGGACTCCTCACGTCTCTGACCTGGCTGGAGTCAGTCTGGGTCATCTGTCCTGGAGTCCTCAGCTGTTTGTGTTTGGTCCACCCCTCTCCAGGATACGCATCACTGCCAATAGGATTTCTGCTCTTTGACCTGAGACAGAAGCGCAGCAAACATCTGGATCAGAGTGCTGAATGTGAAAGGACCAGGAGTGAGCCTTCAGGTCTGGACTCTGCTCCAACATTCAGCAGCTGACCGTAGCTGATTCCATTTTATTCCTTTCAGTTTATTTCTATAGCTCCAATTCACAACACGTCATCTCAAGGCACTTTCCAGTTCACCAGATCATCCAGTCAGACTGACTGACGCTGCATAACTTCAAACCTGACTCTTTTCTGTTGCCATTGATGGATTTTATTTTCTATTTTCCTCCAAAGCAGATGTGTTCTCAGTTTGAGCTATGCTGCCCCCTGCAGGAAATC